ATATATATATATATATATGTATATATATATATATATATATATATATTTGTCTTTTTTACTTGTTAAATAGATATTTTCTGAACCGTAGGATGAGAAACATTCTTAATAACAACAAATCTTAGCCATCAAATTACCCAATACTATGACCCACACGACAACTAGTGAAGACATCCATCCTCGCACTATCGGGATGGCCCGATGCAACCTGAGCGAGCCGCATCGGTCGTCGTCCAACCCGCCTCTTCAAACGGCTCACCGCTCGGCCGCTGCGTTGCGCTGCTGCAGACATGCAAGTCCCTGCCTTGGCTCAAGCAGATCCACGCTCACGCCGTCCGCCGTGGCGTCCCCCTCGGCCACCCCGGCCTGGCCAAGCACCTCGTCTTCGCCCTCGTTTCCCTCCCCGCCGCCGACCCCATGCCCTACGCCAGCGCCGTCTTCGCCCAGGTCCCCAACCCCGGGGTCTTCAGTTACAACACCATGATCCGCGGCTACGCCGAGAGCTGTCACCCCCGCCACGCCCTCGACGTCCACCGCCTCATGCTCGCCGCCGACGTCCCCCCGGACTCCCACACCTACCCCTTCCTCCTCAAGGCCTGCGCCAAACTGCTGTCTCTCCGCGACGGCGAGAGGGTCCACTGCCGCTCCGTCAAGGACGGCCACGACGCCTGCGTCTTCGTCCAGAACACACTTGTTCATTTCTACGCGGCCTGCGGACTCTTCGAGAGCGCACACAAGTTGTTCGAGAGGATGTCCCACAGAAACCTCATTTCCTGGAACTCTGTCATTAATGGCTTCGCCATAAACGGGAGGCCTAATGAGGCGCTGACCCTCTTCAGGGAGATGGTCGCGGACGAGGATGGCGGCATCGAGCCTGATGGTTTCACCATGGTCAGCTTGCTCTGCGCCTGTGCCGAGCTGGGGGTCTTGGCTCTCGGCCGCAGATCCCATGTTTACCTTGCTAAGCGAGGCCTGGACCGGAACGCCCACGTTGGGAATGCGCTCATAGATTTCTATGCCAAGTGTGGAAGCATCGAGGAGGCTTACAAGGTATTCGACGAGATGGATGAGAGGACTGTGGTGTCGTGGACTTGTTTGATAGTAGGGTTGGCCATGAACGGGTTTGGCGAAGAATCTCTCGACCTCTTCCATGCAATGGAGAGGGAGAGATTGGTGCCGACTGAGATCACCTTGGTTGGGGTGTTGTACGCTTGTAGCCATTGCGGGTTGGTTGACGATGGATTCAGGTACTTCAACAGGTTGACACGAGACTATGGCATCGTGCCCAAGATAGAGCACTATGGTTGCATGGTGGATCTCCTGGGACGAGCTGGCTTGGTGGAAGAGGCACACAGTTACATCATGAACATGCCACTGGAGCCCAATGCTGTCATCTGGAGGACCTTGCTTGGAGCATGCACCATGCACAAGAGGCTGGAAATTGGGGAAGCAGTTTGGGCTAGGCTCGTGGAATTGGACCCTGGCCATAGCGGCGACTACGTGCTCCTATCCAATATGTATGCTGCTGTCAGTCAGTGGGGGATTGTTCACAAGCTCCGGAGGAGCATGCTGAAGGGAGGGGTGAGAAAGATGCCTGGCCACAGCCTCGTCGAACTGGGCAACCACATGCACGAGTTCATCATGGGTGATCGCTCACATCCTCAGAGCCAGCAAATATATGAGATGCTCGAAGAGATTGCAGCGAGGCTGAGGCTGGAAGGCTACATGCCTCACACAACGAATGTTTTGGCTGATATAGAGGAGGAAGAGAAGGAGACGGCACTGAACTACCACAGCGAGAGGTTGGCCATAGCCTTTGCTCTCCTTAACACTGCCCCAGGGACCCCCATCAGGATAGTGAAGAACCTGAGGGTATGTGCAGATTGCCACATTGTGACCAAACTCATATCCAAGATTTATGACCGGGAGATTGTGGTGAGAGATCGGAGTCGATTCCACCATGTAAGAGGTGGATCCTGTTCTTGTAAGGATTATTGGTAGGCTACAGTAGTGTTCTCCCAGCAAGATTATACTGCATTCGGAATCAAGGTACACAATCAACTCCAGTTACTTGGTTTCTCGTTTATGATATTGTAACATATTAATGGAATGCAGCAAAGTCCAGTGTGAATCAAAGCTAATTAGTTCTATGCCATCTTCTTTTACCTTTTTTGTAGCAGAGAAAAGAAAAGTGCATTTTAGTTAGTTCTATGCTAGTTAGTTAGGGGTATATATATACTTGTTGCATCGAGATAATATATACATGAATAAATTATTGTTGGAAACATATCTTTATTATCTGGTTTTGGTGAGTTTTTCTTGTCATATATGAGAGTTCTGTATTTAGGTTTGAAAATATCTTGTGATACAATCTTTTACTCTAATAAAGTACTTACCTAAATAAAGTTGAGATCTGGACAAAGAAGGGTTTAACAATATCTGATACAACACTCATGCTACAAACAACTCGTGCAACATATAATCCTGCTTATCTTACTTATGTTCTGTATCAAGGATTCAATAGATGAGTTTTGTATAAAATTTTGATGATTAAATTAAACATTTGAAAAATAGGCAGAATAAACTGTACAATTCTTTACAGGCTGATGTTAAAACTGTCTTTTCCAGATGTTGTAAGTTATTTCTGAAGTGATAAGTTTAGTAGAAGTTCCATTAGGTGTTTGCCCTTGTGATAATGTTAACAAAACTTTTAAGCGAGGTTCGGCGTTTTGGGTACCGGATCTGTTTCAATGATCTGGTCAGACTAGTTTCCCGGTCAGTATTGGTAAATCATGTGTTGGTACACCACTATGTATTGGGGTTTCGGAGTGGAAGAAAAAGAAGGCGAAGAGGAAGGGCAGATGGAGGTAGAGGATGAAGAAGAAGAAGTGGTGGAGGAGGAGGAGAAAGAAGAAGGAAGAAGAGGAGGAGGTTGGAGTGTACTTGGGAAGAAGAAGGAACGCTACAACAGCGGCGTCGCGAAACAGCGGCATTGGCGGCGATGTCATGAAGCAACATCACAAAGCAGTGGCATCGTGAAGCAGCAGTAACATCGTGAGAAGAGTGCTCATGTTATCGAGCCCTAGTTTCTATTTTAGGTTTTTTTCTTTTTTAATGCTGAGTTCGATGACCCTGTTGCTATTTGTAGGTTTTTTTTATTTTTCTTGAGTTGGACTGAACGGCCCGAAATAGGGTGCTCTGCGTATCGGTCCACACCCAAACCGGTACAGGCCGCTTGTTTTGTACCGTTTAGAACAGTATGATGGTCCTTGCTTTTAAGCATCTTATTTGGACCTAGTTCTGTATTCTTAGTTTGTAATGATTTTCTCTCGTAGCATCTCCTATTTCCTTTTTCTGTACAATGTGTTCAAAGCCACATTTGAGCTTCGACTTTAGACTACTCTGACTCTGTAACTATCATCTGCAGGTATAAAAAGACTTCTCTAGATTTCTTGCTACCTCATTGCAAGCATGGGAGCATTTCTACAGTGTTTAGAATATAGTTGGCAGTGGCACCAAAAACTTGGGCTTTTTAACTAAATTTAAGAAATAAAGTTTGCTTTTGGATTATTGAACTTCTACTGACCAAATCTAATATGCAACCAGGTGACTGAGCATTGGGCTCTACTAGGTTTCTATCCCTTGTCATCAAAGCATGTTCAGCTAGTCAAAAATTTTTATATAGTACCATTTAGTAGATGATATCCCACTGAAGAATGTCACGGGGAAAGTTTTGTGTTTGCGTAAAGAAATCTTAGGATGACAAGAGATCTTTGTCACTTCTAAGTTCCCTCGAAGTTGGGATGTATATTTATAGACTAAAAAAAGATTTTGAATAGTATTGAAATGAGGTGGCATGTTGTCCTTTAATCGAGGAAAATTGCCTTTTTTCACGTGCATTACGATTTTTTATATGATGAAATGAAAGGGATCATTGGAGGTTTTTGAAGACATAGCACTGGCTCAGCATAAGTATTAGAAATAGGCATGTTTTGAATGAAAGAAAATGGAAAAAGAAAAAAAGAAAAAGAAAATACCTGAGATGATAAGTCCATAACAATAAATTCAAATATATGATAGTTTACTATGTTTGTCATTTTTACTATAACTTTTTAATTTAGTAATCAACTTTTATCCTTTCTTCCTAATGTGCAGATGGTCCTCATTTGAGAGGAATTGTCTGGTCATTTGAGCTTTTCTTTGGATGCAACTTCACCAGATGAACATTTTTTTGGCTTTACAGCTCCTTTGGATATTTGTTTATGCTTGTCATATGATGCAGATTTTAAAATAATGATGACCCTTGGAACTCTTGCTTGGTTCACTATAAACATCAAAAGCTGTTTGGTCATTGTTGGCATTGTCATTGCATCGAACAATTCTTGATTTATATGCTCCCAGAAGTGCAAGTGGAGTGTTGGAGAGATGGAGCTTGAGTGGATCCTTCCGATGCTGCTCGGACTTGGTAAATGACAGCAGATGCTTGTCTGGAAGCTGAATGAGCAAGCACATTGGCTAGATTGTATCTGGGTAAAAAAAAGAAGAAGCATCATTTAGCATTGTTTTGTTGTTTGCTGTGTTTGTCACAAATGAAATTTAACATACTGCTTCTGTGTATTATTGTCTGTTCAGATTCCTTTGTCCAATTCAGATGAGAGAATTCTTGTTGGAAGATCCAAATCGACTGTCATGCTGAAGCCCAAGAGTCCGATGCTGCATCACCAATTACAGTCAAGGTAGTTAAGAAGCCAGTTGGCCAGTTGTATATGTGATAAAAAAAAGGGTATACCTAGTGCAGGTCGCCAATCCAGTATCTTTAGAGGTTTAATATATGCAGCCTTGCTTCTGGAAATAATTTGTCATGCTGATTCTTGATTACTTCTGGAAATGGTCCCGGTACAACAAAAAGATAAATGCTGGGAGACTTAGCAGGATCTGAGTGGTTAAGCTTTGTTCCTCCTCAATTATTATGATGTGTGATAACTTTAAACATCGACCACTTCACTGTTGGAGTAACAGGTGCAGTGTTCCTTTCACTCCATGAATGCATTGTTTGTTGATCCTGTTCCTCTCTCTATCTTTAAAGTTGAGACTTGGGCAGGTTGCAATGGTCCAAACACCAGAACAAGACTGTGTTCCCTTAGCTTTTCCAATTGTAGATTCATCTCTTTCTTTATCGATCTGTAGTGTTTTTTTTATACATACAATAACAAAAAGAATAGCATTAAATTTTGTGTGGGATTTGGCATGCAGTGGATGATATGATAATACATCAGCAAGGGATATTTTCCACCATATCCAGCAATTCAAGGTACTTCTTGTCTCTCTACCCTCTTTCATGCTTTATTCTACCATAGAAATGGGGAGGGGAAAAAAAAGGGAAAGGTTCTGTGTCCCATGGTTTCTCAATCAATCATCCAAAGCAACAATGATTGAAATGATACCATGACACATCAAACTTTTCATAGTATCATTTATAAAAATGCCTATTTGTTCAGGTTACCTGTCACACAAATAGTACTGGAACAGAGTCATGGTTTATTCTACTCTGAGACAAAATGAAAGATGGGTTGCTCAATCATGCACCCATTGCATTCATGATTGAGGTGGTATCATGGCACATTAATCTATTTATAGAATCATTCATCACAACTACTTGTTTATTTGTGTCATCTTGCTCTCAGCTAATCTATACAGGGATAGAAGAGTTGCTCAATCACATCAGATCAGTTGAAGTGGTTATGGAAATTCTTGGACATTGTTGAGCATGCAAGAATTTTAACTCAGTAAAAATTTGCTTTCAATATTTCCTCTCTTTATTTTTATAATTAAGTTACTCTGATGATATGTATATCAAGTTCATCCCTCTTAATGGTGTACAACCATTTGTACTCCATAATAATTATAACAGGGAGTTCAATGCAGAAAACAGAAACTATACTAAGGTAATCACATTTCTTTTTTATGTTGGTAAAGAAGATCTTAGATTCTTCAGCATATATCTTTCTCTTAGAAAATAATATACATGAATTAAGATCTTGTCATGATCTCACTAAAATCCATGGTTACCATGTGGAGAGTGGATTATAGTGCAAGCTAATAATAATAGTATTATATTAAACCCAATGTGCTTTGGACTTGCCCACCACCGTAGCCTAAAAGGCAAGCAATGGTCACTTTGCATCCCAAAGCGTTGACCAACTTTTGCTCTCTCTCTCTTTCAACTATCCTTTAGATTTAATTAATTTAATATTTTAACTTCTATTAATCGTGAGATCATTTGATGCAGTCAGTAAGCTTCACGTCCATAAGATTAGATGAAATTTTATACCTACTTGCAAAATACAACATATAATTTGGTAAATTATTCGGAATTATAGAAGATGCAACTAAGCATCAAACAGATTAAAGTTGATGCTTTATTTATTTATTTATTTATTTTTGTACAGAACTAAATATATTTTCTTTTTTTATATAGAATTATAAGATTTACTAAACTTTCTCTTTTTGATGTTATGATTTCATTTATGTTTACTTTATAAATGAATGATATATATTGTTAATGCTGATATTTAAGAGCATTTTATGATCCTTAACTGCCTCTCTTAAACCAGTACCAAAAGTGCCTCCATTGCTATGTTGGCCACCTCACCAGCCCTGCCATCTTCCAGTCTTCTTCGTCCTCACCCATCCGTTGGCCACCATAAACCTGAGCTGCAAAAGGTTGGCCTTGACAAGGAGCATTGGCACATGGAGGCCTTGAAATCCTCTACCACAGTTGACCTCTTTCGTATTCTCTAGTGTTCTTAGGCAGCTGCAACAGCAGCACCACCAACCAAACCGCTTCATCACCCCCACATGGACACCAGTTGTGCGCATTACCGCTCCCAATTCCATGCCAGTAATCATAAAAGAAAGGAAGAGAGAGGGAAGGGGAGCGAGAGAGAGTTCGAAGTCACAAGAAATCACCAAACAAGGACACCCCAATGAGTGATGCACAGGTAAGTTTCTTTGGTACTGTCTACGCTTTTTTCTCAGGGAATCTCTCTGCGCTGGGACCCAAAAGTTTGAGCCTTCAATGCTCATTAATGGGAGCAAGGAAGAGCACAACCCTCCTTTGTTCTTTGCTGCTTCCTCTATGATCTTTTCCCCCTTCCTATTTGTTTTCTACTTTTGACAGATGGTTGATGCATGGGTTGGTCCCCTCCAGCTCAACATGGTGCGGTTTGGAATGGTGTGAAGAGGTCTGCAAGCAGGGCAAAAGACAGAACAGAAGCTGCACTTTTGTTGTGGTGTGAAACGTCTTCCTTCATCTCCTGCCATCTCTGTTTGTTTGGTTGGGAAATGAAGGGTGGGTTTTCCTTCTCTGGGGATTATCTGGGTTTTGGAGCTTGCTGAGGGTGCTAACTTGTTCTACAGTTTGGTTTTTGTGCTTGGGTTGCAGATTCATTTACATTAGAGGTTTTGGTGGGGATTGGGGAACTTGGGGTTGTTTACCTGGTGGTCCTGGTGGTGATCTTTTTGTTCTTTTGCTTTTGTGTGATTAGGTCTGGGTTTTGTGGGTATGTGGTGAAGAACTGATGCTTGTTTGGGGCTGTTTGTTTGCTCTTCTATCTTCTGAAGGTTTGGTGGTGGTTTTGACTGCTTCCATGTGTGAGAATGGCCTAAAGTTTGGATCTTGGAAGGGATTGTTTGAGGGTTTCATGGTGGCCTCCGTTCTTTGTGCTTTGAGTTCTTCTGAGTTCTCAGTTTCTTGAGCGATAGTTCAATTTGCGACCTTGTGTGTCTTTTTCGGGTGATGTGTTGGTGGGCTTTTGATTCTTGAGCACGGTTGTGCCTGGAAACATTCTGGTATTTTGGGGGGATTGGGGTGTGCTCTCGAGTTGGTCTCGGCTTGCAGTTGACGGTTTTTATTTTGGATCAGGTTGCAGGGATTTTGGTACTGAGGTTGAAGTCTATCTCTGAAGCTGACTGCAGTTTTCTGTGAACATGTTCCTGTGAGGCAACAGATTGATGGAGAATAGCTTATGGCCTAAACTTTTGAGCCTACTTGTCCATTGCTGAAGATCGCGGCGTGTTCAGAGTGTGATCTCTGGTTATTGCCAGGTTCTGTTTGAGGTTTTTTTGCTCTGGCCATTTCATTTCAGAGTTAGTTCAGAATGGCCTGCAAGAAGCTGGGATCAAAAGCTGATGCCTTTCAACGACAAGGGCAAGCCTGGTAAGCTGTATATTCTGCCTTTTTGTTCTAATGATATGCATATATTCTAAAGTGATCTTAGAATTGCATCTAAGCTATCTTCTATTCTGAGTGGTTAGAAACTTGTGACTCAATTGATAAGATCATTGTAGATCTAAAGCCAGTATTGTAGTTTACGAGATGTATGACTTTCCAAAAGTGCAAGCTCTTATTTATGTCTAGAAGTTACGGCCTCTGAAACAGGCAGTCTTTTTTGGATTAGTTTTGTCTATTTTACTAAATTTGACAATAGAATCCTTAAAAATATTATCTAAAGTATATTATTCATGTAAGAGACTCCATGAAATATACAAGTCTATGAAAAACTGATTGCTATCGTTATTTGCTATCTCTTTTTAACTTCTGCAATTTTTCCTGACTTGTTGAATATTATATTTTTCTTGGTGAATTTATTAGTATGGTTGTCACCCTAAATTTCAATTCTACAATGTTGTACAGTTTCACAAGCAAAATAGTCTTATCTTGACAATGCTAAATGGAACCAACATTTATAGAGGTTGTGGCACGAACAGTTGGTGGCTTGCTGCACATTGTCCCATGAATTAACGGTTAAAGGGTAAAATAAGAAGGAACAAATGGATTTAATTATTAAGAATTAGTTTATCCTCAAGCTCTAATTGTTTCTCTTAGTTGTTGTTGGATACTTGGATATGCCATGAATGTTTAGATAAGTACTCCAAATTTAGCCCAAATCGGACAAGCCCATAGTATAGGTGCCTTGTTGCCTCTATTTGCTTGTACCACATAGATTTAAAGAGAACTAACCCTGAAATAAAAGCATTTTCTTTCCATGGTCATGGCATTTTAAGGAACAAAGATAAAGGGAAATCAACATCCTGAGAAAATTAGCTTTGCAACTACAGGAGCGTTTTCAGCGAGGAATTGGGGAACAAGATTTTCAGGGACTAAAGTGAAATTATTAGATCTTTAAATGGGATAATCATACTTGAGTTATAAAAAAATGGTGGTCTGCTGCACGAGGATCCCAGCAATATAGGGTCTAGAAATTATTGTGATCATCTTTGTTTGAGAAGAGCATACACAGCGATAAGAGTGCCCAAACAGGAACAAGATTCATATGGTGTGCAGTTCTCTAGGTCACCTCTTCCATAATAGTGGCAATACGAATATCAAATGAAAAAGACTTTTCTGAGTTCAAATTTTCTCTCAAAAGATTGCTCATTGAGGACCTCAATTTGGTTTTGCTAGTCAATTTATGGTCCTAGAAATCAGAAACGTGAAATATAGGCATCATATTTGGTTAAACACTTGGTTTGTTTTGTGTATTTTCTTGGGTCTATGACTATTATTAGGGAGTGAAGCTTAAAAGCTAAAAGCATTTGTGAAATATTGCAATCGTCTCAAATAATTGCTAAGATCTATTAACCATGTAGAAATGCTTCTGGACTCTGAAGCTTCTCCATGCATGCCTGTGTAAATTGTGGTTAGCTTGAATAAGGTCCTTTTCTTTATTCATCATAAACTTGCTAGGAGATAAAAAGGCATGCTAGAAAAACAAAAACTGGACTGTTCTTTTCCTCCTGCAGTGATCTGAACCTTTTTTTGCTTTTTATGTGGCCTAAATCCTTAAATTGCCCCTCTATATGAGAGGATAACTATCTTGAATCTTTACTATGGTCAAATCTGTCTGGAAGTATTTTTCACTCTCCATTTTGTTTTTTCTGTCAGGTTATGATAAAATTGTTCTATATGACAAATAGTATTGTAGTCGCATGTGGATCACTTGTTATTTGTGTATTCTGCAGGTTCTGCACTACTGGGCTTCCAAGTGATATTATTGTTGAAGTTAGCGAGATGTCATTCCATCTGCATAAGGTGAGGTGATTAATCATTAAATCGAATGGGACCATACTTGTATCTAGCTACTATTTAATGCAATACCTTTTCTTAAAAAGCTGAGGCAATTAAGCATTTAATCAAACAAGAACCCATGCACTTTGGTGTTACGTTAAAGTTGCTCCTTCATGACACGAGTAACTATGGTTCAAGTCGCTAAATCCTGCAAACGCAATATTAAATCATTTTGAGACATATTTTGTGTTATCAGGCAAGGCACTAATATTTTGAACAATTTTAAGTTTCAACATTCTTTTTCATGGAGGCAAGGAACATGTTTAGCTCCTAGCATTGTACAGCATTGTTGTCATTTGGGTCAAATCAATTTTTGTTGTATTAAATCTCGATATGAAGATTAAAATTAAATGAGTGCTGCTGCTTAGTAACTGTTTGTTTCTTTGTGGGTTTTAATGTAGATGGAAAATAAACTTGAATTTAATATAAATGCATAAATTAGACACAAACTCTCTTGTAAAATGAAGCCTCTAGATCGAAACAAGTCGCTAATAAGGAACATTTCATGTCTAAAACAAATTGAATTGTTGCTGCCTGAGATGGACAACCAACTTGCTTTTCCAATGACAGATAGAGTTTGTTATCAGTTGTTTCTTTACCATAGAAGAGAATAATTTTTTATGAGACTGATAGAACTATTATTTTGTTTAGTGGTCTGATTTTCTCATAGCCATTGTTTAGGCCAGTTTGTCATTTTCTATTTGTTCTTCTCCTGATTAATTGTAATTTTGTCCGACTCATGTAATTTTATTTCCAAAGTAGCTGAATTATGTTATTCGCTAATTACATTTGTAATTTTTTCTTGCAGTTTCCTCTTCTGTCAAAGAGTGCTCTCTTGGAAAAGCTTATTGAGGAGAGCTCTGATGAAGAAGATGGGTGTGTAGTGAAGTTATGTGATATGCCTGGTGGGGATAAAGCATTTGAACTAGTAGCTAAGTTCTGTTACGGTGTTAAGTTCGAACTCACTGCCTCAAATGTTGTTTTCCTGCGCTGTGCTGCTGAATATCTTCAAATGACAGAGGAAATAGCAGAGGGCAATTTGATTGCCCAAACAGAGATCTTTCTTAGCCAAATTGTTCTTCGTGGCTGGAAAGATTCGATAAAAGTGCTCCAAACCTGTGATAATCTTCTCCCTCATGCTGAAAATCTTCAGATCATTAAGAGATGCATCGATTCTTTAGCAGTTAAAGCTTGTACAGATCCCAATCTCTTTGGTTGGCCTATGATGGAGCATGGTGCAATGCAAAGCCCAGGCGGGAGTGTTTTGTGGAACGGAATAAGTACGGGAGCCAGACCTAGAAACTGCAGTTCTGATTGGTGGTACGAAGAAGCATCTTCGTTGAGTCTTCCCTTGTATAAGAGGTTGATCTCAGTCATGGAATCTCGAGGTATCAGACAAGAGGTCGTAGCAGGCTCCGTGACATCTTATGCCAAAAAGTATCTGCCTGGTATTAGTAGGCGTCACAGTCTGGCTCCTGTAGCTCTGACTGCTGCACCATCTGAAGAAGAACAGAGACGTCTTCTAGAAGAGATTGTGGGCTTGTTGCCTTTACAAAAGGGTGTTACATCAACTAAAATTTTATTTGGACTTCTTCGTACTGGCATGATTCTGCGAGCTAATCCAACTTGCATTTCCAACTTGGAGAAAAGGATAGGACTGCAGCTAGACCAGGCAAATTTGGAAGATCTACTTCTGCCGAACTTTTCATATTCTATGGAGACACTCTACAACATCGACTGTGTTCAACGAATTCTAGAGCACTTCTTAGCCATGGATCAAGCTGCTGATGGGGCATCTCCTAATTTGGTTGATGATGAGCAGTTAATTGGTTCGCCTTCTCTTGCACCCATTACTACTGTTGCCAAGCTAATTGATGGGTATCTAGCAGAAGTTGCACCAGATATCAACTTGAAGCTTCCAAAGTTTCAAAATCTGGCTGGTGCAGTACCTGATTATGCACGACCACTGGATGATGGGCTGTATCGTGCTATTGACATCTATTTAAAGGTAATTATTCAAGTACATTTTATTAATAATTATCATTAGGTTTCTCCATGCGAACCAAAAATGTAAAAAACACATTGGAAATATGGGTCTCCACTACTACAAACATCTTTGTTCTTTTTTTCTCATAAAGAATATCACATATGTTGTAAACTTCAACAACAATCTGTCAAATGATCGATATCATTGTTGCATGCTAATTACTACAATGCCTAAATTTTTATTCCAATTTTCCATTGTGCTGTTGCAAAATTGTTGATGATGTGTAATATATGACACATTTGCAGGCACACCCATGGCTCAATGAAGCCGAAAGGGAACAGCTCTGCAGGCTGATGGACTGCCAGAAACTCTCCCTAGAAGCCTGCACTCATGCTGCACAAAACGAAAGGCTCCCATTACGAGTAGTGGTTCAAGTTCTTTTCTTCGAGCAACTTCAACTGAGGACCTCGATTGCTGGTTGCTTGCTTGTTTCCGATAACCTTGATGTCTCACGGCCTCTGAGGAGTGGTCTGGTGGGTTCAGGAGATGGCGGTGGGTGGGCAAGCGCTGTGAGGGAAAACCAAGTCTTGAAGGAGGGAATGGATAGCATGAGGATGAGGGTGTATGAGCTCGAAAAGGAGTGCACAAGCATGAGACAGGAGATCGAGAAGTTGGGACGTGGGAAGAGCAAGTGGAGTTCTGTTTCAAAGAAGTTTGGATTTAAGCTCAAGTCCCAGATGTGCAGTGCCCAAGAGGAGTCTGTAAGCGATCATCAGCAAACCGGAAGCAGCACCATTGAAAAGTTGCCAGCTAAGCTCACTAAACACAAGCAGCAGCTATCCACAGATGCATGACCATTTCCCGTGAGGGATCAAGGTTTGTAACTCTAATTTTCTGGGGTTTTTTTCTTACATCAGGAAGTTGTGAATTCAGTGTCTCTTGGACAAATGTTATTTTGAGGTTTGTCCTTCACTTTCTCTTGTGTATGAAATAGTACTAATCTTGTGTTAACTATATGTTTCTTACTGGTGACTGCAATGCTAAAACCGCAAACTAAAAAAATACATATATATGTTGGAATTAGTTTTTCTTCTTGGATTCTTGTCACAATTCTGCTGAGTCACCAAACTTTTACATTGTTGTCTCAATGAAGTTCAACTCACACTAGATGGCAACACACACCTGTAAGCACTACTATGCCTTTGAATGGGATGATTGACCTTGGAAGATGAGTTAATCTTGGGTTAATTACATGCTACTTACCAGTGATTGTGATGCTGCATCAGCAAATTAGAAAGACCTGTATCTTAGACTTGTTCTTCTTGGTTTGTTGTCACATAATTCTGGTTGGTCACCAAACTTCTACATTGCTCCATCTCAATCAAGCTCAACCAACACCAGTTGGCAGCATATACCTGGAAGCATTACTATGCTATTAAATGGGATAGTTGACCAGGGAAGATGAACCTGCCAATGTAGAAGTTTGTCCAGACATCAAATGCTCATCACACAGCAGAATTCCTGGTTGGTGGGTGAAATATCCATTCTTGTTATTTCTTTTCTTAGTAGTTCTTTGAACCTGCTCACCTTGATCAGCTTTACACTAGTCCTTGTCCCCACACTTGTCAAATCTCCATGAATGGGGAAGTTGACCTTCTCCTCCTCTGCACTCAATGCACCATTTCATGGTGGTAATGTAGTTTGATAATATGCAAAGATCTCCAATGTTGGCTTGCACTTAGTTCAGCTAGAAGTTTCAATTAAGTTTTATGTTGTTTTTGCACTTTCCATCACTTAGTGGAATTGATTGATGGCTTTCTGTCCATATTATGATGTGATTAAGTTTGTCTTGCAAAGTGAGTGTGAGAGCTTCATGTGATTTGGACTCCAAATCAATTTTTTTTTTGTCACAAACACAATTATTATGTTGGTCTTCAGTGGAAATGGATCAGAAGAGTCTTTTGAGTTATGAACTGACTATAATTATGCGGTTAAGTGCATGCCTTTGCCAATCACATGAAACAACATCAATCCCAATAGTTACTATTTTCAGAAAGTGATGTTCATTGACTTTGGGAAATTCAAAGAGAGAGGGAAGAAAAAAGGAACTGCCCCTCAAAACTTTATGGGAAATTTTAGAATAATTTACCTCATTATTCAGTCAAAGTTTGATTTACAGAATATGGGTTGGACCAATTGTCCAATGGGTAAATTCATGGAAAATCTTTCTATTTTTAAAAAAAATTAATTAACGCTTCAATTTTTAAAAATTCTCATAGATTGACCATCACCTCTACCTAGCATCGTTACCCTTATCGAACCCCATTAGCCCCCATCGGATCCATCCATACCTTTGTAGATCTTGATGACTCATGTCGAACTTGCCATGGCCTACCTCGCCGTCACTATTCTCCCTCATGGCACAGGCAACCCCTAGCCCCCGTTGCCCTAACTCGCCTCTCCTCTACCTCACCAAACCTGCCGCTACCTCTACAACTGCAACCCCCTCCACCTGCCGCTACCTCTACAACTGCAACCCCCTCCACCTGCACCTCCTTCGTTGGTCCACAAGCAAAGATAATGAAAACGACATGCACAAGGGCAAATTCAACGAGACAAACGAAAGGAAAGTGGCGATAATGGCCAAGAATCGCCTATGCTACAAGCAAGAACGACAAAAGCAAGACACATAAGGGCAAGTTCGACGAGTAAAATGATATTTTCATGCAAGAAGCTATAAGAATTTTTAAAAATTAAAACATGCTACGAGAATTTATCAAAACTATAAACTTTTTCTAAGAATTCACCCTTGTTCAATTAATCAAATCATAAATTTCATAAAAATATAATATAAATTGTTACTTGTGATACTTTATATTTTTTTATTCCTTATTAAGTTTATTTTTGACCCCTTGATTGAAATCCTAGTTTTACCAACTACACTGAAAACACTCAATCGAAATCACTGTTGTTGAAATATATGAAACAGCAAGGATAATACATAAATTGTACTAAAACAATCCTTTGGGACTCCACACAACAAGCTCCTGGCTCACTGTACATTTTATATACACAACAAATCATCAAAGCACCCCAATTTACAGCAAACAAGTGCAAAGTGTCAGTGGATAAAGTATAGAGGTCAAAGGGTGAATGCTTGATGAAAAGTACTTCCTTGGATCTTAGCTTCCTCAGATTGGGACATTATGCATCTCACCCAAGGATGTACAAGTCAATGGCACAACAATCATAATGAGAACCCTTCCAAGACTGGCTTCAACACAATCTCAATAGGATGAAAGACTCCAACATAGATGCAGCAATTTGAGCAGAAATTTGCTCACTATGCACTGTGAAAAGCATACTGAAGGAGCACCCTCACATTCTCGACTTCTAATACCGCATGCATCATGTCTCTATCTTGAGAAGAGAATTAAGGGATGTGCTGTTGAACCGTTGTGCGAATCCTCTTATCACAAGAACAATGACGTCCCGCATATGTCGAGTTTGCACCATCAAGTCCACTTCATTCTCACCATCAACCACAATCTTGAATCGGTGTTGGTCATTGCGATAAAGTTCAACCTGCAAAGTCCAGTGAGATGTCAATACGCACGAGTCTGTGGAGCCAATGTTGTAATTGGTCCATTTGAGACGAATGATTAAATTCAGTACGCTCATCTTTTGGCCATATGCCTCAGCTCATCAATTACGTTTATTGCTGGGCATCTACTGGGAAAGCATATCATAATTTTTTAAGGATCTTAAATATCTTCACCAATTATCTGCATGACCATCAAGAATCATGCATGCTACCAAAGAATTCACAAGAGAATCAAGTAAATTTGGAATCCACTGTGCTTCCCCAGTAGTACACGGGAATGAAAGAACTTACATGAAAAGGAGGAGCATATGTTCCACGGATTTCGGTATTTGGAAATGAAGTCTTAGAACCAGGTTTAACAACCTTGACTCTCTTCCTGTTGACTTCTAGAATTCTTTTCTCAAGATTTCCTGCTCCTGGAGCCTGTAAAATTGATGCAGGAAGAATAAACAGTTTTAGCTTTGGAATCACTCAGTTCTATTTGATCAATGATCACAGAAGAGAACTACAGTTACCTCCTTTGCAGACCGGTTTCTCTCACACAATGCCTGTTTCCAATAGAAAGAAAAGATTGTCAACTTCCAGATATGATAATTGTCCATAAAATATATTTATAAACAAGACCTCTATGCTCAAATCTTTTGAGAAAATTCCACAATAAGCCAATGAGGTTGCAATCAAAAGTACCCAATGGTCAAACTAAATTTAGCTCGAAACAATTTCTGACTGTTACTTTATATCATTGCTTCCAATTTTGAACACTATAAGCCCCATGTACAAAGTATGGCTAAGAACGGCTGACCCAAGGTCAGCATGCAGCATGCCGCATGCCATGCCAACCCAAGATGGATCCTCATTCACTTGTCCTGGCATGTGAAGTTGATCAATATTCATGGTTGGGCATTTATGTCCCGTGCAGGAACAACCTTTATCATGCGATAGCATAGGATACCTCGTACACAAATGTAAATAGATGGACAGAAACTGGGAACAGCACCAGAAGTCACAAGCCAGATGATCAAGTGTAAAATCGCTGTCAAAAGGAAAAGGATATTGGGCAATATTTTGGGGGGGGGAGGAGGGGGGAAGCCAAAAGCAAGCAGTACCTCAAACTTCACAGATCCAAGCTCCAAGTTCTGCTTCACTTCTCTGTAAACATCTGGCTCTGCAAATGGGTAAAAGAGGTAACTGAATACAACCATAGGAAACTGAATGATGGAATGAAGCTAAATAGTACACCAAGTTTTTCCGAAAATGTTAATCAAATTGGTTCCTTAGGTCAAGAATTTGTCAGCATGAACATAGAAGAAAACCAAAAGTTCTCCCCCAAGTTTTGAACACTGAGCAATAAATAAAATAAATCAGATAACCGTTAGTTCATTCAACTAGCCCGGGTAACCAACCAAACAAATCTTTAAACTTCTGTGTTTTCCAATAATAGTACAATTTCCAAAACAATCATATACTTAAGGTGACTGTAGGACTACCACACTGTTGCAATTAAAGGAATAAGAAAACATGTTATTCCACTCATGAACAAACTGCAAATAAGCCACAAGTTCTGCAACAGACAGTATACAAAAATACACAAATCATGTTCATCTACAAGAGATCCACTTGAAAATTCATGGATGAAACCGTTTGACTTAAAAATGATTTATTCATTTTTAGTATCATTTACAATGTCCTTTTCCAACAAGTTATCTCTCCTTATCTTTGGGCAGTTTTTGAGGGGAGTGAGCTCAGGTTGCCGGCAAATGGAGATTCTCTATACTTACAAATGGCAATATCTTTTTATCTGTTTATGGTTTACAAATCTAACCTACCAGTCTTGTGAATGGAGGCAACTACTGGATCCAAATGGGACCCACCCGTGGAAAAATAGTTGCTTCAAGTCACAAGACAAATAGGTGAGACTGGTAAGCCATAAAAGTGCAGCAAAGATATTCCGGTCCACATTTGCAGTAGAGCCATGAATCTTGCATTTTAAAATGCAACTCAGCTATTCGATAACTTACATTTATTATTACAGCATGGCTACTTTTGTTTCGTTACTTGCATTTGTCAATTGCAGACTATTTATCTATTGTGCATTTGTCAATTGCAGACTATTTATCTATTGTGCACTGGGACGAGCAATGTTTGTAGGGATTGGTGGAAGGACAATAGGCAGCATTGTAAAGATAGGCAGTGGGAAGGGCTGCTTTGGTCAAAGTAGGAGGCAGGAGATGTGACACCCCCATTTAGTCCCACTTTAGAAGTTAGAGAAAGTTCAAGTGATTTATAGGGCTAGAGTGAATCTGATATTACTAATTTGGACTTGAGTATTTTGAGCCATGTGGTTCTAAGCTTATTAAGTTAATAGATTAGCTGTCCTATCGAGAAAGATCATGGTAGTGGAGAGAACTGTTATTGGACAGTGAGATTCCCACATTAGAAATATCTATGGTCGGAGTTTGAGAAACATTGAAGTATGAAGCAACTACCAGGTTGGGTCTCACTTGCACCATATTAGGATTTGATTTGACAATGTTAAGCCTTAAATGTGGTGAGATTGTGACACCTCAATTTAATCCTGCTTTGGAAGTAGGAGAAGGCCTAAAATTGGTTAAACAATCTTGAGCTTAGCATTTTGGGTCACGTGATTCTAGTCTCATCAAGCCAATTGATTAGTTACCGCAGGTCATGATAAGCGAGGCACAATCAGTGGAGGCGGTAGCAGTGGTCAAGAAGGATGATGTCTGGAGTTGTCAAAAGGCATATTCAAAGTTGTGGCTTCCAAGCTAAAAGTAGCCTGCATTTTCACATGCAAGCAGTTTAGTCCTAGATGGAAATACAGGGTTAAAGGCTTAAGTTACACTAACGAATGGCAGTTTCAATGTGGGTAATTAAGCACCTGCATTTGATCAAATGCCCGCTTTGCACTCATAGCAATTCCAAATTCAGGCAACTAACAGCACCCAGGTTGTTTTAAGATTGTTAGAAGTAGTCAGAAAATGAAATATCTACAACTAACATGCTTGATTAACCATAGTTGAACTATTTAATTAATATACTGAAAAGCAATGAACTAAAAGCATACCCATGTTGAACAATCTAAAGAAATTCATACCAACTGAAATTGGGTCTGTTGATGCAGAAACAGGCTGTCCCTCGACTCCATCTTCTCTTACTGGAGTATAAACAGCCACAAGTCTATATCCTACGTCATCAACATTAGCTTCATACATCCTACTTGTCTCACCTGTAATGATAGAATGTTGAAAAAGGGAAGATAATAGAGCTTTGAATGGTGAGGTAAAAAGCATAAGCTGTAGATCAAAATACAAAATTCCCTCAAACAAAAGTTGACATGAAAGGAGTTGGCCACAAGTCAATTTCAAATATCAGATATAGCTCAAAACATAATCATGTTTAACATTGTGTTTATAAGGATGAACGCAGACCACAGGTCCCTTGCCCTCATTGGCCACAGGGCACAAGACAACATGAACTACTAAAGAATATTTAGCAGTTGTGTCAAACAACAGTAGACATTTGATTCAATCCTTGTGGACAGTTCATATTGTCCCAACCTCGAACAAATGCATTAAATCCAATCATATAATCAAATGTCCATATCAGATCACAGAGACCTGATTTACCAGAACATCAAGTTTGGTAGCTCAGAATTAGACCAAGCAAAATATTCTTTTGAAATGACCTGAATCATCGTAACCCAATTCAACCAAGCTCTTTTTGTCAGAAATATAATGCAATTTCATTTTAGACAACCAACATGACTTTTGCTATGTTGGCCCTTTTTGAGTCAGGGGACACCCTGTGACAAATGTTAATGTAGGTCTGCATGACCCTTTTTTAATGGTTGAAGTAATGTTATGAAGTCTTTAATATACTTGATAAAAAACATTTTGCGAACTTGACCAAAATCTTGGTAGTGAGGAACTCTTTTAGCACATATCAATTAAATGTATCACAGCAATTTTGTTTCCTGGTTTGAATGATTTAATAAGCCTTAGCTGGAATCTATTGCTTTGCTTTTTTTGGATGCCATATGCTGCTAATTGATAAATAATGAATGTGAAACCTTTTAGAATTCAGTGATAGAGAGTTAACAGCATATATTAAAAAAGATGTCACTTGGCAATACATGGTCCACCGTTCAATACATCAATTTGCATGCCTAATAGTTTTTTATTAATAAGTTAATTCATCCTATTTACCAATCTGTTTAAGAATTCTGGATAAGATGTAGTCTTTGCAACCTCCTATGTACTCAAATCCTAGTAAGGATTTGAGTTCTAGGTTTCTAGGAGCATGGAGGTTGCTGACTGATTGCCAGCATGGTCTGTGCCATGCTGGGCCAGCTTGCAGACCACCAGCACTAACTGTGTAAAGAAGAACAAAAAAAAGGAAAAGAACATTACAGAGAAACAAAAAAGTTCAAATTAAACATCACACAGGAGCAAACTTAATTAGATATAACATGAAGCCACAGTCACCAATGAGGACACAGGCAAAAATCAGAGGATGATAATGCTAGTTTGTGCCACAGCCAGATGTAACAAAATCCAAGGCCAGAACCATCATAACAATAAACATAAATACAATGATGACAAAAAATAAGAAAAGTAAAAAACCTAAACCCATATTTTAACCATTATCCAGAGCAAACTAGGACCGTTCAAGGCCAAATGGTTGGGTCGGTAATGTGCATGATTTCAAAACAAGGATGGATGCAAATGGCAGTTGACACAAGTGTAAGATCCATCAGCTGTCCAGACATAATTACCTTACCAATGTCACTCAGTAGAAGAAAAATCTGTGGTACATGGACATCTATTCAGCTAATAACGAGGAGATGTATGTTGCATGCTCCATAAGAAAAAAATGCAATCAAAACCAAAGCAGCCACAGCTAAAAGTATATTATGCAGTCAATTAGTTTCCTTTTCCATAAATGAAAAGTAAAGTTCGTTTTGCAGTAGAAAATGTTTCTTGAATTTAAATAGTGAACATCATAGTTCTGATGGCAAGTTTGTTATACCAGGTATTGAGATTAGATCAGGACTTCCAACCATTGACCTAAGCCACTGAATTCTGCTCTTGCCTTCTTTCCCACCGCTATAGATGCCTCGAACAGCATACAAGTTTGTGTGGAAGCCTCTTCCTTCAATCTCCAACTTATCAATTTTGGGAATACCTGAAAGCAGCAAATTGTGTCATAGAGCAGACTAGCGATGCAACATTTGCTTGATCTTGCCAAAAGATTTTGGACGCAATTAAAAGACTGGAGATCTAGACTAGTAGTTTGAGCTTCAGAATTCAAGTTTTGGATAGTAGAAAATTTAGAACATTTACAAAGAGAAGGTGTTCCATCCCGATCAATAGGACAATGTCACAATGATGAAAATCAATTGGCACTATAAGATACTTAGAATTACTTATATCTTGCAAGTAAAAGGGCAGTAACGTTTCCATTACTATGTCTAGTAATTAGCCTATAAATCATTGGCATGGTTCTTCGGCTTAGTTCCAACTAGAAATTAGTGGCAAGGTAATGAAAAGACCTGGCAATATAGCAGATGTTTGTGCTGACACAGTATTACTTGATCTTCCAAACACATCTGTTACAGTGCATTCACATTTGAAACATCTGCCAATATCCTCAAAGCGCACCTTATAAGAGGAAGATAGTTGAGATGGCAATATTTCAAAGGACTGGTGCTCCCCATCTCCTATCGAGGAAAACCTGTTCCACAAGTTTATTATTGAGTGATAAATTCATAAAAAAGGTAAAAAAAAGTAACTTATCTTGCATTACCATTGGTACTTAATCTCTTTCTTGTACTTGTTCCAGATATGATGTTGAATATCACTCTTAGGAATTACTTCAACAGCCGTAAGTATTTCACCCTCAACTTCTTTTCCTTTGAAAGAAAGCATCTCAATTTTTGGAATCTCTGGAGGAAAACATGAATCATTGTGTTTACTATGAGATGAATTTTAAAGTAACATTAGCATTCAAAGAATTTGAAGATGTAGACATCTATAATTTTGCCTGTATCCAATAATGTCTGCCAAAACATTGGCAACATCAGAACTTCTGATACACAAGGACAAAAGACTTTCTGGAACAAATAAGATACAACCAAAGTACTGGTACCACACATACACTTGGTATTTTTCAGCAAAATAACCAGCTGTCTAGTTTTATGTGTCGCAGTTAAATCTTAATGATAGGGATATACCAATATTCTAAACAAGTTATCTAAGAAAATTATCCTAGTGCATGGGTCTCTGCCAGTTGGGTTACAAGGAGGATTGGATGTACAAAGCCTTACCCCAGCAATTACAGAGGTTATTTCATTAAGAAATTAGGCTCATGACCCACTATACAGTTAACTGACGCAAAATTAAATCTAGACACAGGTACAGAAAGACATAAAGGACAACAAAAAAAACTTAACAGAAGTAGAGACAAATGCTATACAATCTGTTGCACACCATTAGATTTCCAGAAGTGTCCACATGCTATACAATCTGGCAGATATGCCAACATGCATAGGAAACAACAGATTTTTAGATATAAAAATCTAGTTAACTTTTGGACACCCAAAAGCTACCATTACCATTGTCAGAAAAAGAAGATAATATGTATCCTACAAGGAAAGAAGTTGTTACAAAGGCAGAAAACAAACATACCTGGAAGAATTATTTCAGATGGTTCTGATAACTTAAGTTCTCCTACAACTGCATCAGAACGAACAGGAGTGTAGCTGCCAGATAATATTTTAAGATTAATTCTTAAACAATCCAAGGATTAGACTCTGTATGCATGAGGAGTAACTCTGAAGAATTATATGCAGTTACGTAACTTGAAAATGAATAAAAATATATATTTAAATAGACAAAAAAATTGTTAACAATCTCTTCAAGGAACTGGAGACAATTACATCAAAATAGAGTAACTATTAATAAGAAATGTATTTTGCTGAAAATTGGAATCTTGGAAGGGATCCACCATATTAAGTAGTGTGTATATCTATAGCTTTCTTACATGTATTATGTGAGGAGCAACCCCTAGCATCCGTGAAACTCAGAAAGATGAAGAAGTGCTGGACACAAAGCACCTTTTATCTGCCACAACCAGAAATCAGGGATATGGCAAATGTGTTCAATCTTTTTTCTTATTGTCATATTTGTTTATCATAATGTGTTTCTCAAATCTGTGCTATGAACCAGATGGTAAAACAACCTGCCACAGTTACTGCATCTGACACCTCATATGGAATAAACAACTCATCCCACAACAGATTTTGCATAATCATATATGAAGCATTGTCTGATGATTGCAGCTTCTGTAGTATGCTGCATCACAGTCAACTAGAAGTACTAACCAAATGCCTAATTCACCAATTCTGTGATAATCAAACCCTATCACTCAGATTTTGGTTCTTGTCCGGTCAGTTCCATTTTCTACAACCATTATCAGATAAAGTCTCAGTTCTCTATGGCCATTATTAAATCCAACTGAGGGAAACAAAACAAAGGAATGTGCCAAAGGAAATTCCATGTGCCATTTGGATTGTTACACTGGTCATACTACCATGTTAACTGACACATTCTTTACCAATGAGGTATGTACGATGGAGCACTGACCAAAACTGGTATTTTGAACATGTTATCATATGTACCAAGACACTGGGTTATGAGCACACCCTGAGTTGCAGCCAGTAGATTATTGTGTTTCATCAAGACTGCTGAAGAGTCACAATTTCAGTAAATTAGCAGCTCAAAGAATAGACAGACTAGCAGACTGCACAGATACCACTAGGAGTGGAGCCAGGTTTCAAACGAAGGCGTGCGAAAATAGTTAGATTGAAAAGTGAACTACATTAATGTTAATTGAAAACAATTTCAATAGATAAAAATTTCAAACATATTCATTTTAACTGCAAACAATTTCAAAAGATAACATAGATTGGCATAAATATTAAAACAAATTCATTTTAGAATTTATACAATAGTTAAATGTGATGCTTGTGTAATAGGTCATCTTTAGAAAAGTTGAGGTCAAGAAACTTCGCCAAAGATTTTAGATAAGTATTGTTTAACACACATGACCAGGGCTCTTGGGGGCTGAAAGATGCACAGGAGGGTCACATATGGAAGAGAAATGTGGCAAATAATATTCTCAATGGTTCAGGGACCATGCAATAATGCAAACATTCCCCGGGGCCCACCCCATGGGGGGTAATCATGTTCATGTATACATGAACAATATTGCTATCACCAGTTCTTCAGTTAAGGTTACTTGATAAGAAATCATAGTTACCCATAATCAATATCAAAAAATTTGCTGATAGTATAATTTAGTGATATTAACAAATAATTTTTAAACAATCAATTGAATAGCTTTCGAAGAGCAACAAAAATATACAAACAAATAAATACTTACCCAAATAATAGACGGCAATTATAATCTGAATCTGTAACCTCATAGGTGGTGGAATTAGCCTCGGAGATAAGGACAATAGTTCCTTCTTTACTTTCTCTATACCAACTATAGAGGCTTGATCCCTCATATCCACCATAATATTTTCCCTCTCCAGCATATACACCTGAATTAAGAAGCTTTATGTGTACTTCCGAAACAGAAGGAAGAGCTGCATCATTCAAAAAATTTGAACGATAAGAAAAAAGAATAATCAAACAAGACAAGTATTAATAAGACAGAGCACCATACAAATCAAGACAACCTGCCATGACCGGTTGGCTGCTAAAAGCAACTAATGGAGCACCTTGTTTCCCATCTGCACGTGTAGGCACCCAGTGAAGGGCCAGGTAAGAACCAACATCTTCAAGTGACGGTGTGTATGTTCTGTTCACACATTTCAGTATCCAAAAAAGCTAAGCTTTATTATAAAGTACTTGAACAAGAATCTCAGTAGGATAAAGGTTGCCTAAACCACAACTCACAGGGTTTCTCCAACAACAAGAATATCATCAGTGACAGAAACTCTATTCAAAAGTTCCGACTCATCTATCTTCTCTTTGGTTCTGTACCAAATATATTTCCCAGTTCCTTCCTTTCCACCATAGTATGATTTAAGGGGAGCAACTTCCTCATCCTCACAACAGCTTGGCTGGACAAGATCAATACCTTTTGGATCCGCTGTATAATGGGCAAAAAGATAAATTTATAGTGATATAATCATGAAATTGGAATTTTTGTATATACTACAGAAATCACAAAAAATAGAAGTTTCTGAACAAAAAACTGAGATACTCATACTACACATTAGTTTGAGTTATTCTATGCAATTATAATTATCAAGTAAACCTAATTCAACCAAATCTGTTCTAAATGAGTAATTAGGCATTTCATTTTGCTGCACAACAGCAGAAAGGATCCACTGTATGGATATATTGCCATCAAGATACCAGGTTACTTATTGTTCATAATGTCCAAGTTGTACCTGTGGATATATCAATAGTCCTTACATTACAAACATTCCATATAGAAGACTTGCTGGCCATTCACTACCATCCGTGATAAAGATATTTTGAGTGCAAGTTACCACAGAGATCAAGAGTAATCTTCTTATTCTCATGCTAAGACCATTAGTCTGCTCGTACATAAATATTTATTATTTATTTCATGGTTTGTCTTACCGGTCCATACCGATGTACTGACCAACTATCGGTATCGTACATACCAAGCCATACCAAGTGTACCAACAAATGGTACGATGGGGTTTACCAATGTATCGTCCATACCAATCTCCTGTTAGACCAGTACATACCAATCGTACCGAGCAGTATGCCTCGATATCGCAAACCTTGATTTATTTATTTATGACCATTTTTTGTTTTATTTTATCCTCTTTATATCTAGAAAAACACATATTTCAGCATCATAGTAACTGAGATATTGAGCACCTTCATTCTTTGAGGGAAGAACACATTTTAAGTAATACCAGAGGAAAAATAGAGAAGAGAGAAAGAGAGGATAAAATATTAGGAAAATATAAATACACACAAATTATATTTCTTCTTTCAAGCGCATAAAAGTGGAAATAATGAGAAACATACTTGTATGAAGTGGCATATTTGCCCATTATAGTACTGACAAAAATAATGCAATAATCACCATAGAAAAAGATAAAGATTTATGTGTCACATGTGTCCAAGATAGCCAACAGTTGATGCATTACAATAAAATAAATACCATATATCCCACACTGTGCAGAGCCTTTGGGACTGCAAGTAGGTCGAGCCATCAAGTACATGGAAAGTCTATTTCAAGGTGGAGCAAAATTATCATTATCTAAACACACAACCAACAGATGGAAAATATGGTGGTTGATTGTTGTTTAGATCTGGATACCCAAATATACTTCGAAATAGGCAACTATGTTGGTTCTTTTTGAATTATAAACTACATTCTCTCTCATCCTTTACTACTGTAAACCAAATGCCTATAATTTTATCGAAGAACTCATTGATAGATCTGAGTTAGAGAATTAATTATGTATTATATTACTAGGAACACAAATGACATGATTACTAGAAGATTTGGTATCACAGGGCAATAATTTTGTGGGGGTTGTACAGACAACAAACAACAACTGCTTTTTATGGTTTTTCACATTAAGAAACAAGAGCATGGCTATGTTTGTTGCATACACTTATAGTTTATTTCCAAATTAGAAAAGAATATTAGGTACCACGATACATAATTGAAGCTATTTGTCGCAATATCTGATTAGTGTTAATATGATAACATCCAATTCAGATCCATAACCACTCTATCAAACTATTTTTTTCAACTGATATTTGGTTCCTGTCTGCATGAATCAAATATCATGGTATCTGAAACAGACAGTATTGACCCAACAATGTTCTGGCAATACGCTTACTAGGGCTAGAAAGATATGGATATTAAGGGGATTCAGGCTTGACCCAAACCCCACCCAACAAGCCAGTGGATCAAGATTTCTCCCAATCTGCAACTGGTGAGTTGGGTTGGGTTGGTGGGTCAAGGCATGTATTCCCTATTTTTTTATGTGTGTTTGCAAAACATCCATGTATGAAGAAAGATATGGTTGATCCAAACCTGAATTAAACCCAGCAGATTATACTGAATTTCACTGAAACTGTTTAGGTCACGATTCCTACCCCTCCATCATATCAAGGTAAACCAATTTATGATTCTTCTAGTGATATACCCAATCTACTTGTACAATTCTGATGTTTAGGGTGTATAATATCCATATCAGCATTTGCATCCTTTGAATTCCATCTCCAAATCATTATCTCAGATGCCTATACTGACCACAAGAACATGCAAATGGATAGTTCAGTATATGATAAGATGTGCAACACAGACCTATGCTGTGTGCTAAATTGATGCTAGGATGGTATCAGCTTATCAACTACCTAGTACAGAATGTCTAACACCTTGATTGTCAAAGCAGATGCCATACAAACATCTGATTCTTTATATGACATTATCTGCACAATGAACCTGTCTTGCATGCCAAAATGGTGCAGATCCATAAGTTCAGGATGTTCAACACCTTAGTTGATGAAGATATCCATTCTTGAAATAATGTGATCCAAGTAAAAGATACTTACCAGGAACTATGATATCTGAAATAATGATCTTCGGAGTTCCTGTTGTTCCATCCTTCCGAACTGGTGTATAAACCAGCTCAATGCGTTCACCAACATCGTCAATAGTCAGATCTAGATACTCTAAAAAATAAGTTTTACAGATGAGCCTAATTAGTGGTGCTATGACATTTAGGTAATGAAATTTGTTTGAAAATCTAATGGACTCACCAGCACCAGTAACTTTTGTTTTTGCTGCAGTACTCTTCACCCTGAACCATTCATGGATGCAGTTTCCTTGTTCACTGTTAAGCAAAACAACAACTGGTTATCAGGTTTAAACACTTGCTCATCAAAAACTAACCAGAAACAAAGCAGTCTAACCCTCCACTATATTCAGCAATAAAGCTCAAGCGCCCTCCTTCAGTCATTGTTCCATGAAACTTGAGATTACGACAAGTTGGTGGCCCTACAAAAAAAATCAATGATAGAAGCCTTTGTTGAGATATCTATAAAAATATGAAACAACTGTATGTGGAACAGTAGTAAAGTCAATAAGGTTAATTGTTCAAGACGGAAGGTCCACTGAAAAGATAAGACAGAAAAAGAACCATGTTTGAATGTAAAATTAGGGAATGTTGAGAAATGTAGATCTTGAGAAACATGTGTTTTCTAAGGGCGAGAACAGACATACCAGGTACTATGGGACCAATGTATTCAGAAATGACAATAGGACCACGAGCCAAATCACTTCTAACAGGTTCACACGAAACAGATATGAGAAAGCCAATATCATTGATTGTTATGGTATATGATGAAGTTGTAACACCTCCAATTTCACTTTGGATGCCCTCAGGACTAGTCTGCAAATGTATCATAAATTTATTTAACATGAAAGCTGAATATTTAAACTAGCTGGACAACCAGAAGTCAGAATTGGTTATTAGATTTCTAAAAAGATATAGTAAAAACAGATAAAGCTGATGAACCCTACTGACCAGGAACCAACGGAAGACAGAATCACCTTCTTCACCACCCCAATATTTCTTGTCAGCAATCAATGTGTTTCCTTCAACAGCCTCACCAATTATCTTAAGGGAAAGCACTCTTGGACTTCCTGTTAGTTGAACAGTTTTTAGAATAATATGCACGTTAGCATAGGTGGCATTCTTTTTTTATAAATTCAGTCAGTATAAGGAATACATCTGACAGTAGTAATTGTAGCACGCAAGGAAAAAAAACACACCACTCAGTGAAATAAATGATTTTAGAAGTCAGCAAGTACTAAAAGATTTCTCATGGTACAAACAAGCCACAAAAAAAAACTAAAAATCAACACTTACCCATCCATAGTTTTGCAAACACATGCCCGGTTTGCAGATATTCTATTAATTGCGATTAACTTAGTTCACTTTAGATAAAATATTTACTTCTTTGGCTTAGACAAGGTGGCATATTTTTATGCTCTTAGAGCTTTTTCTCTTCAGTTTGTCAAACTCCATCAGAGTCATGCAGTCTTAAGTCTAACACACACACACACAC